CTGCTGAATCTTGATTTTAGCTCAGTGAGCCCCATTTGGACTTCTGACCTCCAGACTATAAAATAGTAAATTTGTGTTGTTTGAAGATTCTGAGTTTATAGGAATTTGTTACAGTAGCAACAGGAAACTAACATAAAACAAGAAGATTAGATTTGAATTCTCTATTGCTTATAGCGAGGAGGTGTGATGTTGGTACAAGTGATGTATGTACATGGTTTAGAGATATTCTGTAAAGTCTGATCACTCTGCTAAAAATGATTGCCATTGTGAGTGGAGCAAATCAGAGCTAATATACCCTCTCTTTTATTTCTATTTGATATAGGTTGCTGATGCTAGGATATTAATAAGCATAGGTTATTAAATTTGTTTGGTACATTCTTTTTACGATCTGACAAATTTATTTCTGAATCAATCCTGCTGAGTGGGAAGCAGAAGAGGCTAACAGTTTGGTTCGTATTTTAAAGAAAACTTTCAAAAAGCAGGTTAAGTGATTTGTGCAGAATAATACACACAATGCAATTTGCCATTGCTCTCAAGCTCCTCCCACACACTGCCAAACATATTTGTATGAAAAGAATTCTGTAAATCAATTTTTTCAGAGAACATACACATACAATCTGTCCCTTATTGCACTTTTTTCATCTTTTTCTTTCACTTCGTCTCTTCCTTCCTCCAAAATGTTACAAACCCTCAAACCCTAAGATAGACAGTAATATAGTAACACAGATGATGAAATATGCAACCTATTCTCTTACTTAGTCCTCAAAAATCCAGTAAAGCAAATAATTTTTTTCCTGAGTTATTGAAGAAAAAATAGAATAAAAAAGCTTCTGAACTGGGCTTCCCTGGTGGCGCAGTGGTTGAGAGTCCGCCTGCCGATGCAGGGGACACGGGTTCATGCCCTGGTCCGGGAAGATCCCACATGCCGCAGAGGCTGGGCCCATGAGCCATGGCCGCTGAGCCTGCGTGTCCGGAGCCTGTGTTCTGCAACGGGAGAGGCCACAACAGTGAGAGGCCTACGTACCGCAAAGAAGAAAAAAAAAAAAAAAAGCTTCTGAACTATAGTAGGTTGATATATACACACATATTAATATTTATACCCCTCACACTATATCTCTATATCTCTTTCTGTAGCTCTGTCTCTATTCAGTGAACTGTTATTATTCAAGTTAGTCCCCTTAATGAAGCTGTCTATAACTTCTGTTGCATTTTCTAAGGGAAAATTTTGGGGGGTGGTGTGTATGCTCGTTATCTTAATTGTTATGTTTTCTGGATATACACTAGCATGTACCTCAAAAAAGCTGTTATAAAATGTTTAAGAAATTCCAAAAATATTACCTGTTTCACACCAAACAACTGGCATTGACAATTTAGAGTTTATCTTTCCAGTCTTTTTTTCTTATGTGTAAATTTTGCACTTAGATTTATACATAAACATAATATACCCCCAAATCGTATTCAGTAGCATTTCTATTGTTATTATATGTTCATTAAGAGCATCATTTTGATAAGGTGAATAAGTTGTAACTAACTTAAGATTTTGGCTAAGTTTGATTTTAAGCTTTAATATTTTTCTCAATAAGTAATGTTATCATGAATATTTTAACACAAACACCCAGCCATTTTTAGGATACTTTTCATAAATTAGGATTTGTGCTTCAGAATTGGAAATGGATTGAAATCTTTGCACTTTTTTCTTTTGACATGATACAAAACTAATTTTACTTCTAAGTATACCTGATATATAATAAGTGCTTAATAAATATTTATTAAATAAATTAAATTTTGTACAGTTGAAATCATTGAAATAATAATTTAATAATTAAATAATTTAAATAATAATTGAATTATAATTTCAGACACACACACAATCTGCTAATCAATACATGTGGTATAATAAAAGTCATAGAGATCCTGGAGTTAAAATACTAATGTTTTATCCTAGGTTTTCCTATTATCTGTGACACCGATAAATCCACAAGTTCTCTGTAAATCAACTTATTTTTGCTTAGAATGAAATCCAACAAGATGGCATTCAAATTTATAGGACTACAAGACACAACCAACTCTTTAGAATTGGCTACTATTGTTCTTTTTAGAATGTTGCAGTCTGCTCAGTGGGCTTCCTAATACAAATTTGAAAGCATATGTTATTTTATAAATGGATTATAATTCTGATAGATGGCCTTTGAAAGCATACAGTATCCCCCATACTACTGGAAATAGATAAAAACAACCTGGATATTTTACATAGAGATATAATATCTTTCTTCTGTCATAAATGGGTGAAAAATCATTTTGTGACGTAAGATACATAAGGAATTAGATAAAATACTGTGTATTGATGATTTAATGCCAGAATTTATGGGCCAAACTTATCGTGACCTCGTGAGAGTGTTCATGGGACAATCAGTGTCACCTGGGATTCCAGTTACCTTAGCAACTTTGGCTCCTCCAAAGAACTTTGATTGGTTGAAGTTAAGGGCAACTAAGCCGCAGAGGACCTCAGATTTTTGAGCGTAAGTTTTGGCTTGGGGTCTATGAATAGGTAGAATGTGTGCATTCGACCCAAAACTCTTCAGAAATCAGAGGCTACGAGGAAAATAAGAGGATACCTTTACTTAAGGTTCAAATATCCACTTCGAGCAACTGAGCCAAAACAGAGAGGTAGAGGTTAATACCTGGGCATCAGTAGTATATTAAGCATTTTAGAATGAGATTGGATCCAGATAGTTATAAAGGCATTCTTGTTGGCCCATAATTATTATAAAAGTACAGACTGGGCTCTGGGATCGTCTTCAGAGATAGAGTCAGAGGGTCAGCTTAAAGGACTAGAAAGCAGACAATAGGCAGAGCTTTTGGCAAACAGTGACTCCAGCAGAAGTGACCAAGGTGCAGAAATAGAGATGAAAACTGGAGAGCATGACTCTGAGGTTGAGTAGAGGTTATGGGGGTGGAAAAATAAGTGGCCCCAGGGTTAGAGACTCTGGGGACACACTGAGGCTTGTTTACTGGAGAATTAGAACAAGGGTAGCTTCAGGAACAGGACCAGGGCCAAACCTCCAGAATGATCTGAATGATTCTCCACTGCCTGGAGGACTCAAAACCTGGATACTAAGCAGGCCATTTTAACTAAGGAATTCCAGTTACTTGCACAGTACTCAGGTAAAGGCAGCTCTTCTGAAGAGAGGTATTACAGAGCAGCTGAGACATCAGCTCACTGATGCTTATTAACTTGAGCATCAATCCCTACTTAACATAGTTATCTAATAAGCAATAGGCAATTTTAAGCCCAAACTCAAACTATTTTCCAATAGTAATACCAGAAACTTGATACACTGACTATTAAAATTAATTTTCCCTACATTTCTGTTTCAGATTGTATGCCTTATTAACGTATAAACAGAACTTGGATATTTGTAACTTAATATTTGGTAGGAAGAAAGATCAAAAATGAGGGAAAAGACTAAGGAGAACTGAGTCCTGCCCTCTGGCATGCCCTTGGGAATGCATTCTCATATATGGATTAAATTGTTAGACCATGTCCTTCTCAGAAAGCACTTACAGGAAGAACAGTTCCTTCCTTCCATTAATTAAAGAATTCAAAAGAATAAACTCTACAAGGATTAGATCATCAATCCTTTTTATCTTCTTTGCCTCAGTGAATTTGTAAATTTAAAAATAATTACTAAGGTATAACTTATATTTAGTAAAGTATGTAAATTTTAAGTGTACAGATGGATAAATTTGTAAATATGTATATACCTGTGTAACCACCAAAGCAATATATATATATAATAGTTCCACCACCCAAGAAGGTCTCTGGTTCCCCTTTCAGTCAGTAATTCCTAAGAGTAAAAATCATTCTGATTTCCATAATTACGGCTTAGTTTAATCAGCTTTGAAACTTTACATAAGCAGAATATATATATTTTAGTATCTAAACTTTTTCACTTAATATTATGCCTGTGAGATTCATCCATGTTGCTCTTAAAGAAGTTTACTTTTGCTAATAGCTGGGTAGTATGCAGATAATATAATTTATTTCCCCAATCTATTATTAATGAACATTTGGTTTGTTTTCAGTTTAGAGCTATTACAAATAAAATTTCTATGGATGCTTTTTCCATATGCCTTTTGATACATATTATTATTTACTTTTTTGGACATATACCCAGAAGTGGAATTATTAGGTTATATGGTCTACATATGTTTTCCTTCAGTAGGTACTGTCAAATATTTTTCCAATGGAGTTGTAGAAATATATACCTTTTTACTTCTACCAGCTTCATATCCTCACCCATACCTGGTATTCTTTTTTTTTTTAAATTTTATCCATTATGTTTATGTAATGGAATTTCATCAGGGTTTTAAATTTGTATTCGTCTAATTACTAATGATATTGAACACATTTTTATGTTTGTCAGCCACTTTGATACCATCTTTTGTGAAGTCTCTGTCAAATTGCTCGCTGTTGTAATTAGGTTGACTGCCTTTTTCTTATTGGTTTGTATTAATTCTCCGTATGTTCTTGATATAAAGTATTTGTCAAATGTATGTATTGCAAATCTTTCTTCTTCGCCTGTCTTACT